TGATTTAATCCTGATAATGGTCGAAAATATTTCTTGGGATTTTCCAGCATGATTTTCCCTTGTCAGTGTTGCAAGATGTTTAGTCATTCAGTGGTGCTGGGTGTTGCCACTGCAGTCACAATATGATACATATTGCGATTTAGGTGTTATGATAGGATCACGATTCATAACTAAGTCAATATTTACCAAGAAGACAACTGGATATATGAATAATTGATATTTTTAGTCCTGTCGATGTTGAAGAAAAAAAACTGTTTTATATCTCGATATTGATGTGGATCAAAACGAGGACCAAAACAATTAAAAGAGTGTTGGTGTACCTATGGATAATGTGTGACATGGATAATTAAGAGTGACAGGTTACTTACTGAAGCGACAAAAAATAAAACAAAATAAAAAAATCAAAACAATTGCGATACATTGGTTTAGTGTCTCGCCATACTTCGATTAAACAATATATCGGGCCAGCACTATGACTCAGATGGGCACCCCAAAAAAAGACCAAGGTCCAACCACGTAAAAATACACAAGCCAGTTCGAGAGAGAGAGAGAGAGAGAAATGGGGGTTTAACGTCCACTCGACACAAACTAGGTCATTTCGGGACTAACATATGGTTTAAGTTTATTTCAATAATTCGCTTGCGCGTAGGGGTCTTTAGCAGTGGGAGGAAACCGGAGGAACGGAGAAAACCCACGAGGTTGGACAGGCGACCCTACTCCTTGTCAAGTACAACCGGGGATTCGAAACCACGCCAGTTGACTCAATGACAGGCCTTATGATACAACGCGCTAACCATTCGGCCACCCAACCCCCACAAGCCAGTTCGAAACTGATGTATGTCGTATGCTAGTCTTCAGTCGTCAAGCTGTTGCAGAAAATCACCATTTCATTTCATTTCATTTGATATATCAAAGAGAATTATTTGTCTGTTCTTGTCAAGTTTTTTGTTTCTGTCAACAGGCATCATCATAAATCTACTTTTCTTCATGTTTATTCAACTAGAATTTTCATAATCTGATTATAATAAAAGGTTTCTGGTGTTCCACGTTTTTTAATTTGTAAAATCAAGAATACGCATGGAAACAGTCCAAAATACTATTTCTGATGACAGTTTAAGCTCTTTTTGTAATCCATAGAAAATAAAAATATTTGACAAGTATGCCATGCTTTAAATCCAATAGAAATTGACGAAGCCCAGATCTCTTCTGACAAGGTACAGATGTTTGCGGCAATATTCAATTCCTTGAAAGTCAAGAAATTTGAAATTCTCAAATCTAAGCTACAAATGCAGAAAGTTTATTGAAATGTAATCTAATAAGATCTAAAAGCTAATTTTCTTGTTTAGTTTTAATAAAATTCTGAATATAAAAGAAATCAACTGTATGCTGCACTTATAGGTTCTAATGTAGTTAACCAGTTTGTTTAAATGTGAGCAGATTCTTCAAGATAGTGATACTTATCAATGTCTATTTCACTATTTCAGGCAGTCAGTTAAAGTTACAATTTCATATTTTCTAAGACAGTCAAAACATAATTATTTCTATGTCTTTTGCTCAATAGGTTGTCAACTCACTATTATACTATCATAGGTTATCTTTCTCACACTTTAAAATCTTCACACCGAAAATAATAACACAATTACCTCCCAAGTTTTCCTATTCCCCACCATGGAATAGCTATCTTCAAACGTTTGACTTTGAAGTTGAAAATGATATTTTTGCCAATTTCTCAACTGGCAATAGTGAATTATAGGATTAATAGGATTATTCTTTAACAGGGTAGGACTGTTTATAGATACCATCTATTTTAGGGCTTTATTTTAATACATTTTAAAAATATAATTTAAAAATATGAAATAGTAACTTTAAAGAGAGAGAGAGAGAGAGAGAGAGAGAGGGAGAGAGAGCAACAGAAACATTCAAATAAATGTAGGTCTTTCAAAAACAAGAGAGGGAGAGGGGTTAATGTTCACTCAACAAAAACTAGGTCAATTCAGGACTAACATATGGTTCAATTTTATTTCAATAATTCGCTTATGTGTAAGGGTCTTTAGCAGTGGGAGGAAACCAGAGGACCCGGAGAAAACCCACGAGGTTGGACAGGCGACACTACTCCTTGTCACGTACAACCGGGGAATCGAAACCCCGCAAGTTAACTAAATAACAGACCTTATGATACAGTGCGCACGTGCTAACCATTCGGCCATCCAACCCCACTGTCAATTAAGGAAGTAATTGTCTTCAGTTAGAAGAGTGTCAATAAGTCATGAACCTTGTTCATCTTGTCAAACTTAAAATGTTTATCAGGAAAGAAAACAATTAATCAGAAAGAGCTTAAATGACACCTAATCATGCCTTTAAACACGCTATGTGATATTTATCCATTACAGAAACAGGCAAAAATCATAAACACGCTATGTGATATTATTCGGTTACAGAAACAAACAAAATCGTAAAAGGTCCAGGAATTAACACTGTAACACGGGTATCATTTAATCTTGTGTATCTAGCACTAATTTTTTTCACTTTCATTTAATATCAAATTTGTAAAAATCATTTAAAATCACCAAAAAAATCATCTAATTTGTACTCGTGTCCAGTTTAAAGCTCACTGATTAATTTTGATAACGAATGTCCAATTTACAAGTATTTAATTTCCTGACCATTGTTCAAAAATTAATCATTACACATTAATAATCAATTGGATTGTTTATTTTTTAACAGTGATCGAGAAATTAAACACTTGTAAATTGGACACTCATTATCAAAATTGAATGGTCAGCTTTAAACTGGACACGAGTACAAATTAGATGATTTTTTTGGTGATTTTAAACAAATTTTTAAACAAAGATTTGATATTGAATGAATGTGAAAGAAATCAGTGCTAAATACACAAGATTAAATGATACCTGGGTTACAGTGTAAGTTTCTTAAATAATATTTATTGGAATAAGCTTTTGCAAGGTACCTTTATCAAAAAGTTGTTGTATTTGATGATAAATACATAATGATTTAAGTAAGTTATATAGAAAAACACGAATACTTGTTTATGTGTGATATGGTTGATTATCATGCCAGTTTGAAACAGTATCTGCCCATTGCGTGTCACTAACTCCTATCATAAATTATGCATTCGACAATGAACTATCAGCCGCAAATAAAACAAATTTCAAAGGAAATCCCTAGTGTCCTATCAGCTATAAAATAAATGTGACAGGGACATTTTGAAAGCTCGTTAAAAATACATTGTACTATAAATCAACTGGCAGGATAACTTGGGGTTTGAAAACTGGTAAAATGATAAATATGTTGTGATAGCATAGATATGATCACCTGACAGGTGTATTATACGTTTAAATACAGCCAAACAATAAAATAATTCAGTCTATAACAATTGAAAAGCAGTCTTTGTGGGTGTCCTTTTCTCTTTTTCTGAGTATTGTTCACACATGTTCGATTAACAATAGTACAGCAATAAAATTGTAATCAAAAAAAAAAAAAAAAAGCATAAAAAAACTATGTAATATAATTTCATTGAACCGTTATCAATCATTATATGTATAACGAATGATATACAGCAGAACAGATCTATACCCAATAATGTAATTATCTCTTCGCATTCGCAGCTATCAATAATTCTTTTTACATTAATTTCATTTCACAAATTGAAAAGAATTACAGCCTTTTTTGGGTTCTCTGATCTAATTGAAAAAGATAATAATTGTGCAGTGGAACATGGACGTTTGTTTACACATGACGAGGTATTTAGTAAAAACACAGCCACAGAGAGATATCGAGTGGGGATTGTCGTGGTATATATTTGATGAAAGAAACTATCTGCCCTTGACAAGTACCATCCAACTGAGGTATGACGTGATGAATAATAAATTATTACAAGTTGATTTTTATAGAAAATGTATGAAAAAAACCCAACACGTTTGTTAATAATAAAAAAAGCATGTCTACACACTTCTGTGAATCCTATAAAGCATAATTTATTGCCATTATGTTTGTTTATAATAACAGTGAGAGAGAGAGAGAGAGAGAGAGAGAGAGAAATGGGGTTTAACGTCCATTGACACAAACTTGGTAATTTCGGGACTAACATGGTTTAATTTTATTTGAATAATTCGCTTGCGAGTAGGGGTCTTTAGCAGTGGGAGGAAACTGGAGGACCCGGAGAAAACCCATGAGGTTGGACAGGCGACCCTACTCCTTGTCACGTACAACTGAGGATTTGAAACCATGCCATTTGACTCAATGACAGGCCTTACGATACAGCGCGCACGTGCTAACCATTCGGCCATCCAACATGTCCCTCCAACTCTATGAAACTAGCAACCACACGGTAACAATATTTACACATATTTACAAAGTGAATATATATCATATTTTATAATTTATAAGCTTATAATAAAGAAATATCAAACAAACAAGAAAGAAAAATAAATGGAGAATAAACATTGATTCAGAGGACAACAGTAATTAACAAGGGTTAAAAGATTTAACATGTTTTACTAACTCCTTTTTGAAGATTAGAGTGAGACTAGGTTGTTCCGGGACTAATATATGGTTTAATTTTATTTCAATAATTTGCATGCGCTTAGGGGTCTTTAGCAGTGGGAGGAAATCGGAGGACCCGGAGAAAACCCACGAGGTTGGACTAATGAAGACAGGCACACGCCAGAACAGAACAAAAATTGAGATCTACGCAAAATTATTATTGGTCTATTTCTCTTTCAGATCATCTATAACAAAGTTGACCTCTTCATGGTTTAATTTTATTTCAATAATTCGCTTGCGTGTAGGGGTCTTTAGCAGTGGGAGGAAACCGGAGGACCTGGAGAAAACCTACGAGGTTGGACAGGCGACCCTACTCCTTGTCACGTACAACCGGGGGTATGATACAGCTTGCACATGCTAACCATTCGGCGATCCAACCTCCCTGGGAAGAGAGGTCAGAATACGACCATATGCAAAACACAACAAAAGTAACTCACCTTATAAAGGCATATCCTTTATCTTTGAATACTCTAATTTCTTGAATATTCCCAAATGGTGTAAAAGTTTTTCTCATCGTTTCATCTGAAATACACAAAATAAAAGTTTTGAAATCTTTTTTTTTATATATTTTTTTTTTATATTTAAAAACATTTCATAACTCTTGATTTATCTGAGAAATACGAAGCCGCTTGGTCTACAATGCCTTTAGTATTCTGCTTTTATCTTATTTTACATTCATATTTTGTCAACCTTTCAGACAATCGTGATGCCAATAACGTGTATAGATTTCCTGATAAGTTCAAGTGAGATTATGTTTAAATGAATGAAAACCCAAGATTGTAAAAACATTTTAGCACCATTTGTACTTAAACAATACAAACTGACAATGTCCTAATCAAACAGAAACTGGATAGTGTAACGGCCAGGACTTATACACAGATAATATCTGATATCGGCTCCATATACATGTCACCATGTATTGATAATGGTTTTTATATCTTTGAATTTGAAACGCAAGTACGGACAGACCACCAGTCTGATATCAGCTCCAAATACATGTCGCATGTTTGTTATAAAAATATTGATAATGGTTTTTATATCTTTGAATTTGAAACGTAAGTACGGACAGACCACCAGGACTTAATACACAGATAAAATTTGGTATCATCTCCAAATACATGTTGAATATTTGTTATATAAACAATATTGATAATGGTTTTGATATCTATTATTAAGTGCAGGCGGACCGCACTACACGCAAAACAAAAATCTACAAGATAAACCTGTAGACAAGACAGAAAATAGACATTGCACCAAATAAACAATTATCAAATCAAGTGAATGGATCTGGGGGCCAGCCGTAAGCATCCACTGCGCTGTACGGTCCTGGGCCTGTTATGGCACAGGCTTCACTAAAAATGAAAAAAAAAAAAAAAAAAAAAACAATTTTACAAAAAAGACATAACAGCAATAATGCAACCAATCTTGAAGTGGTCGTCTCTTCAATGGCGATAGTCTGCCAGTTGACGACATGAGTTAGAACTTCAAACAATTTTAACAATAAAGGCGATAATCCGGATAGAATCTCGGAAAACGCTAAAATAATAAGTGTAGTGAGCAAAAATTTGAATTGTAAAATTTGGTATAATATCGGATCCAAAAACATGTCGCATATTTGTTACAAAGAACTTGATACTGGTCTTTATTTCTATGAGAGAGAGAAAAATGGGGTTTAATGTCCACTCGGCACAGACTAGGTCATTTCAGGACTAACATACAGTTTAATTTTATCTCAATAATTCGCTTGCGCGTAGGGGTCTTTAGCAGTGGGAGGAAACCGGAGGACCCAGAGAAAACCCAGAAGGTTGGACAGGCGACCCTACTCCTTGTCATGTACAACCGGGGAATCGAAACCACACCAGTTGACTCAATGACAGGCCTTGTGATACAGCGCGCACGTGCTAACCATTCGGCCATCCAACACCCCTTTATTTCTATTAATTTGAAGTGTAAGTACAGACCGACCGTCAGGACTTATACACAGTAAAATTTGATAATTGTCTCCAAAATTGTTATAAAACAATTGATATTGGTTTTTCTTTTCTATAAATTTGAAGTGGTTTATATCGGTTCTAAATACATGTCACAAAATTGATATTAGTTTCTATTTCTATGAATTTGAATTGGATTATCTAGCTAAATAGTTGTCAAACATTACACCAATGTTGCGGATTGACTTTAGACGGGGGAAACAGAATGTGAACCAATGCAAACTGTTAAATCAATGGCAGTTATTCTAGACAATAATGATTTTGAACCAATTATAATCAATTTCTTTAAAAAATTGATTGACATCCAATCTTTTACTTCATTTATACAAATTTCGAGCTGTAATTTAGACAATAATGGTTTTCAACCAATTATAATTAATTTTTTTTAGTCGTTATGTAACTTTAACAAATTGATGGACATCCATTCTATCAGTTCATTTATTGGTATCTCGAGCTGTGATTTAGACAATAATGGTTTTGAACAAATTAAATTATGCAACTTTAAAAAATTAATGGACATCCATTCTTTTAGTTCATTTATACGTATTTTGAGCTGTGATTTAGACACATTCAAACCTAATGTCAGCGAGTTTAAAAGCCATGTACAGGAAATAAAAATGACCAGAAATAGACTTTGTACTACAATCTACCGAGATCTACATATTCAGGTCACACTTTCTCAATTAGGGACATTGTATATTCTTAGATTTAATAGCAAAATGAAGGCATAGAGTGAGAAATATTGATCTCGTTCAGTTTTTCTCGAACAAAAGATGGCAAAATATTCTACAGCGAAAATACATTTGACAAAATGTAATAAAAAAGCTTATCACATGTAGTAAACTACGAAACATTATTTGTTGAAAATCTAACAATAAATCACGCTACGATTTAAAAAAATTTCTTGCTTTTCAATTTCACGCCTAAAACAATTTCTAAATTTTCAGATGATAGAAAAAATGATTTAAGGTTAAAGAAAAAAAGGATTTTTAAGAATACTTAAAATTTACTGGAAACTACAGCACTCTAAATACTCAAATAATCGAACATTTCTTGTATATTTAATTGTTTAAGTGAATTTCATTAAAGTAGCTAAGTCTTTAACTCAGTATCATCCAAAGTCTTTGTCAATGAAAACATGAATTATTTATAAAATTAAAATATTGATGTTGTGATATTACCAGTAAAAGGTGGGCTTCTGATATTCAATATTTAAGACAAAATAAACATTTTACCATTGGTGCACGAATCATGTACCATAATGCGTTTCAGCTCCATTTGTAACAAGGGACTCAAAGAACGAGGCTAGAGATATTCCACAAGTCATGTCAAACGGTGACACCATATTCTTATCAGTGCAGACTGGAATAACCAGACGCTAGAGATTGCCATTCGATTGAGACTTCTGGTGTATTTTGCCGAACATAACTGATTTGAAATTTGAGTAAAAACGGAAACGATTGAATGTTAATAAGTTTATATACATTCATAATACACCGTTATATGCGGTACGACCCATTAGTGTCAATTTCTAGGTCCAAATTATTAGTGATTTAGCTCCTTTAATCTTAAATATGTTTTTGCCCCTTTAACATAAATATTTTGCTCAGAAGCTTGTTATTTACCCATAAATCTTTTAAAAGTATTAGTGTCTCTCAAAGGTCACTTACTAAATCAATTTTTTTTATCTTAATATAAATCTATTTCTATCTAAAAATTACAAAAAGGTAAATTGACAATTGGTACATCTGTATTTTTACTATGTCGAGGGAACAATATCATTAAATCAAAAATAGTAATAAGTTCCACATAAAAACAGAGAATTTTGACTATAAATATGATATACTAATATTCCTCTATTGATTTCCATAATAACTGCGTCTGGATATGAATATCAATGCAATTATAAAGAGTTTCGGAAATATTAAAGCTTAGATATACAATGTCTATGTATGCTCTATGGATTTACCAATTTTCCACATAAAAGGTTAGGGTCGGTGTAAAGTATATCAGTGAATATACCAGAACATGTATTATTGAATTAATACTTTATCAATATTGGACTATTTTATTTGATCGTATATCAGACGATCTGCGGCTAGTTGTCTGTGTATTTCTAGTTATTTATTGACTGAAGGCCAGTTGGACACATCAACTAAAACTTTTATAAATTTGACGAATAGTTATGAACAGTATCGAAATCACATGTATACAGAGCAATAAAATAAATCTGTATAAAATGGTATATTAATCATATAATATGCAAGAGCTAAATCTGCCTATTGCAGGTCTTTCTTTAGGCTTGAAATGTTATCTAAATTCTTTATTAGACATTAATTAACCTATCCAGACCATATTAAACTCTCGATGTCATCGCTAGGAGGCGATATCTACTGGATTAGAAGTTAGAACTCGGTCTGCTGCTTATGATTAAATCTGAACATGGATACTTGAGACTATGTCTTTTTATCATTCGTTAATTAATTTTTAGTTTATTGCAGTACAGAATCGATTATATCTCCACATCCACTTTATCCATGGACATAAAATTTTGAATGCACACAGAGATTGTCATCTCAGAAAATAATTCAATACTATTTTTCTACATTTCTGACTCTGAATTCAGTGTTTGAACTCTGTCTCCATTTTATCTATCAGTGACCCTTAAAATCCTTATCTACAGAGTAAACATCTTTTCTTTCAACTACAATGGACTTGTACTAGCTATCACTTTTAGGGATATAGAATCTCTTGCATTTGATTCTGGACAGTCAAAAGTTTTTTTTTGAAAAAGTTCCTTACAGCAAAAATTTGCAAACAATATATTCAGGCATGTACAGAAATACACACTAAAGGTTAATCCATCATCTTTGTTGCACAGTAATGTTTTATTTTCCATTTAAAAATTTGAAAACATCCGTCTCAAAGCCAAACCATTTCAAGATGAATGGCTCTTTAGACATTCAACTTCAAAGATAATTTTACAAGAGATATACCTATTCCAGACTAGCTTATTACTGCTATATTGTCTTCTCTATGACAACTTATTAGATATCTGCCATCAAATTACCCAGACAACGTCTGGGAAACCTGGAAAAACAGTTTGAACTTCTCTCACTTTGTCTGAACCGGACATTAAATGCAATTAATTTATGATAAATTTGATTCATGTACTTTTTATCTGTTTAACTGCAAGATGTTTTAAATTAATCACACATGATTAAAATTGCATGGATAAAGAATTTTCTTATAAGTGTATATAAAAAAAAATCATGCACTGGTATTGATTTTATTTCATCATTGTTCGCTGAAATGCTTTAAGAATGCTAATTGCAAACTAGAATACTATTTCACATCAAAATCAGATTAAATTTGTAGAAAACATAACCACAATAAAAATTGATACTTGTTAATATTACATTAGGCCCAAAGTTCATGAAAAGAGACTGAGCTTGATTTCAGATATATCAACAAAATAAAAAGAAAATTAGATAATGAAAAATTTATTAAAATTTTATTCCAAAAACTTTATTCTGAGCGAAGATATTAACCTTTGAAGGTTTGACAAGGTGTGTGCAATAATTGTTACCACCGTTAAAATTGGACTTTTCCGATGGCACCGAGAGTCGATTATGGTCTTGTCATGTTAATAAATGTTTGATTAATAGTTTAGATAACATTTAAGGCCCCAAAAAAGACCTGCAATAAGCAGAAATGAAATGAGGTTTAACTTCCTAATGTTCTGCTCCTATACTGGGCTAAAGAAGATGAGCATACGCCATATAGTGTGCTATGACGGAAATTTTGCCCAGACAGCGGCACTATGGTCTACACTTATATCGAATTCCAACTGCCAAGGGATCTTTTACATGCACACCAATTGAATGTGTATACGGGACCTCATTTTTTTTCGTCACATCCGAACGACTAGACAGCTGTGCAATAGGTAGATTTAGCTCTTGTATAATGTATGTTTATTATAATGATACAAAGTTAGGTATACCTGTCAACCCATTTGTCACACCACCACAATAGACTGTACAGTTTGTGGCACTCGACTGACTAAACACTTCATCATAGGACAACTGTTTAGCATCTATAAATAAAAAAAATAAAAAAATCATTACCTACTGTTATCATTTCAAAAAAACAAATCTTAATAATTATCTAAATAAACTTTTTACTTATACACATATTATACACATATGGAAAGAAAATATTAAAAAATTAAGAAAATATCATTTAATAAGCAGATATCATTTAATATTATAATAAGCAAAAATTAAGACATTTGAATTGAAAAAGAGAGTAATGGAGTTTAATGCCCACTAGATCATTTTGGGACTTATATATTTTGTTCAGTTGTATGTCAATAATTCTCTTGCACATAGGGGTCTTTAGAAGTGGGAGTAAACCAGAGGACCCATAGAAAACCCACAAGGATGGACAATCGACCCTATTCCTTGTCACAAGCGGGGAATCGAAACCACAACACTTGACTCATGGACAGACCTTATGATCCAAAGCGTACGTGTTAGATCATTTGTCAACCTTACCCCCAATCCCATTCGAAAACGTTAAAGGAAATAAGTTTCAAGGACCTGCATAGTCTTCTTTACCTGGTGGCCATCTGGATTCCTTAACTGTGGGTGCTGGGGGTTTTCGTGTGGCCCAGTTTGTTCGAATAGGCCTACTACCAATCCATTGACCGTTCATATTACTAATAGCATTTTCCGCATCCTGAAAAAATATGAAAAAAAAAAAATTATTGAGAGAGAGAGAGATGGGTTTAACATTTTGGAACTACCATATGGTTCAATTTTGTTTCAATAATTCGCTTGCGCATTTAGAAGTGGGAGGAAACCAGAGGACCCGGAGAAAACCCAATAAGCTAGAGGCAACACTACTCCTTGTCACATACAACACGGGAATCGAAACCACGCCAGTTGACTCAATGACAGACCTAATGATACAACGCGCACAAACTAACCATTCGACGATCCAACCCACATTTATTGACAGAAAGATACTACATCACCAATTGCCCGTAAATGTATTACTTAAGATACCAAGTGCGAACTTAAAAAGTCTGATCACTCTGTAATTAACCATGTGCATTGATGGTAACAAGAGCATTACTATACAATTCACCATCATAAATGACCCAGCATCTAAATAATCACCTTAAAAGCAATATTGATAAAGAGTCAATCATCTGACACCAAGTTTCCTATAAACTTGTTTGAACTGCTATTTTAGACAAATCCTCATCGAATTTCTCCAATGGATGATCGCTCAATTTCAGGCTGTCGGCAAGCCATCAAATTTCTCATTTGATTGATTGGCCAATTTCCAGATTGTGACAAGTGCCAAGACAACACCTAGAACCACTGGATGGTTGCGATCAAAGCCCACGATATACTGACATGTTATATAAGACTTGGTGAAAAAAGATTGGATGTAGTAATCCTAGTTTCGGAAACATTGTCTGGTGCATTTACATTACTTTCTCCATCAGGTCTACAAAGCTTTTTGGGGGGGTCGGCTTTTTTTTTTAAAAGCTTCAATGAAATATGATCAATATGTTTGAGCTGAATCAATTGATTTTTCTAAAAAAAATCTTTGAAACGGGGGGAATCAGAGTCCAATTAATGATTAACTTGAAGCCAGTTAAAACTCGAAGATGTCTGGGATGCTAAAGCATAAAAAGAACCCTAGCAAAGGTTAGTTACTCAGTAACCTTGTAGTGAAATCTTCGTTTTTAATTTCATCTTCCTAGCAGCAATGGCTAAATCTATTTGTTAAGACCAGCTCAATTTTTGTCAAGGTTGCTGAGATGTAAATAAGGTTAGGGCATGTGATTGTTGGCAAGATTTTAGCTTACGGTTAAGGTAAGCATTGGGGCTAGGTCCAGGGTTCGGGCTGGGATTAGCACTAGCCCTGTTTACATCTCGTTACTTATGACGGAAAATTGAGCTGGCCTTATCATTTAGCACTAACCAGCAGCAACATACTCTCCTCATAAAGAATCAAATTAACCTGTTAAGTGCGTAGGTCGTTATATAATGTCCTAGACAACTGCCACTCACTGTGTGTAGGACGTAATTTAACCTTTTGGAGGTATTTTTCCCAACCTATTTTTAGAACATAGTTCGTCACTTGTGGGAATTCCCCCACGATCGCAGCATGTGTAGGACGTTATATTACGGCCTGGACAACTGCCACTCACTGTGCGTAGGGCGTAATATAACGCCTTGGAGGTATTTTCCCCAATCTATTCTTAGAACATAGTGCATAGTTCTTCGTCACAATTACACAATAGGGGGTAGTTAACGTTTTAAAAACGTCACGCTTAACGGGTTAAAAAAACAAATTTAACCCTACATAAAGATTTTATTTAAAGATACATTATGTAAGATTAGATAAAGAGCTGACCATTCTGGTTATAATAGCTCAAACATAGATAATGTAAAATGAAGATATTAAAAATTTCATTCAAATTATTTCATTCTGAGCTAAGTTATCACTGTTTTTAGTTTTGACAAGATGTGTGCATTGTGGTAACAAGCGCACTGGTATATTCGAGACTTAGCCTTGCTTTCTCATTTTTAAATTAAATTCTTAAATGGCGAACCGTTCTAATCTAGTTAAAATTTCGAGTACCCGATGCCATTGAGTGTTGATTATGGTCTTGTTTTGTTAATAAATGTCTAATTAACAGTTTATATAATATTTCAGGCCTAAAGAAAGACCTACAATAGGCAGATTTAGTTCTTGCATAATGTATGTTTAACTGAAGTATCTAATTGAAATTCGATGTTGAAATAACCTTGTTTATTTTATCAATTAACAAAATTTGTTGTTTGTCTTAGTGAATCAATTCTCTGTATCCCAACTATTCAAAATCAATGAATACAGAAACCAGATCCTACATTAATCAACATGGTGAACATCATCTATTTATTTAAGTACTGTGCAGTAAAATAATACATTAAAGATACATTATGGGAGATTAGATAAAAAGCTATCAGTTCTCGCTATAATAGTTAACTAGATAATGTAGAGGGAATTTGCTGAAAATTTCAGTCAAATTGATCCATGCTGAACTGAGAATTTAGTGATTCAATTTTCGGCCTAGCCTCGATCATCATTACTAAAGTCGGTACGATAAAAAACAGTCTTGATTATCCACTTCATGATTTAATCATGAAAGAAAGTTGAGCATCAAATCAGATCCTAATCCAGTAAATATTGCTGGCTAGAGATCACATCGAGAGTTGGTTATGGCCTGGATAAGTTAATTAATGTCTAATTAATAATTTAGATACATTTCAGGCTTAAAGAAAGACTTGCAATAGACATATTTAGCTCTTGCATAATGCATCAAAACCAGGCTTTACAATAAAACAGCACGAATGTAAATCAAGTGGAATGGGGTATATTTAGTTTCAACTGCCCACGGATCTTTTATGTATACATGGGACGTCAGTTTTTTTTTGCCAACCGAACGACTAGACAGCTGTCCTTGTCAGGCCCTCCATCATGCATCACTGACAAGTGGGAACCATGACGGAAAAATCTGGATGAACTTTCTCAACCAATGCAGGGATCCAGCCAGCATCTTACCCACTTAGCCACCATGGCTCCCCGGACTCAGACAAACTTTACAGGGAAATGTGAGACACTGACCCCATTCAATACACACTATGTCAGGATGAACACTTCCAAAGTAACACAAGTTCTACATTTCCCACTTGTCACATCCATAATGGACTTTAATATTCATTTTCATTAATTAATACTTGTTAGTATTGCAAACACGAATAACATTTTTTTTTTGTATGACAATTGAATGCGACAGATTTAATCATTAGTAAATTCAGTTTGTATGTTCACCTAGCATGTTACGAAACAATACATGCTCTATGTTCGGCACTTTCGATTCATTTCTGCTTCAATCATTTCAACATGTTAAAAGGAAGATGAGATCCAATGTTTGAATCAATATATTCGACTAATTTCCGGAGAAGCGTAAAAACTGAGCCGTGTAAGTTCCAAATAAACACATTATCAGAAATAATTCAAGCAGAGTTTATTTCAATATTCCGATAGCGATCGGCCAGTGAATGGACCTAAAGTAATGTTTACAATCAGTCGATGTTTCATTATTAATTGAGTAAGCGTAATTTTTACATCGCGCTTATTGTTCAATAATATTGAGTAAATTGATTGGAATGGCTAAATTATTCAACAGCAGTGCCTGAAAGATGTTTTAGAATATTTATTTTGTGTTTTTGTTAATATTGAAGTTACACTTCTGTGCACAACACATCAATATATTACATTGAAATTCAGGGCATGCCGTTTGACGACATTATTCAACCTCAGTGCTTGAAAGATGTTTCAGAATTTTTATTTTGTTGAGTTTTTGTTAATATTGAAGTTACAAATGAAATGAAATTGGGTTTTTAATGTCCAACATATTGAAGTTACACTTCTGTGTTAAAGACATTACTCTATAATTATAGGGTAACGTAGGGCTTACGATTTGAGGAAATTATTCAACAACAAACTTATTTCCTTATTTTGTTGAACCAATTACATCACATCCGGTTTTAATAATTCATTTCTTGTTTACAAAACCTTATTTGCTTGTGTTGCAGAAGCAATTAAAGGGGCATTATTGAAGATTAGATAAAGAGCTGGCAGCTCTCACTATAATAGTTCAAAACTAGATAACGTAAAGAGAATATGGTAAAAGTTTCAAATTGCTCCACTCTAACCGAGATATCAGCGATTGAATTTAAGGCCTAGCCTCGATCATCATTACTAAAGTTGATACGATAAAAAACTGTCTCGATTATCCATTTTTGCATTTAATCATCAGATCAGATTCAAATCCAGTGAAAATCGAACACATAAATGTCTAATTAATAATTTATATAACATTTCAGGTTTAAAGAAAGACCAGCAATAGGCTGATTTAGCTCTTGAATAATGCATGTTTAACTCTAAATATAGATTTAAAATTTATGGAAACCTGGTTGAAAATATTTGGAGAGAGAGAGAGAAATGGGGACTAACGTCCACTCGACACAAACTAGGTCATTTCGGGACTAACATATGGTTTAATTTTATTTCAATAATTCGCTTGCGCGTAGGGGTCTTTAGCAGTGGGAGGAAACCGAAGGACCCGGAGAAAACCCACGAGGTTGGACAGGCGACCCTACTCTTTGCCACGTACAACCGGGGATTCGAAACCAATGACAGACTTTATGATACAGCGCGCACACGCTAACCATTCAGCCATCCACCCCCCCCCCCCGAAATTATTTGGTCTTGCGCTTTAATACTTTAAATGATGATCTTGTTCTTAATAACCAATCAACCTGATTATAACACAGATTCTATTTTGTTTCGTTTTTTATAGTTCAAAATTTCGTTTTACTTGTCTTTACTACACTAGGATCTGGAACAGTTGTTATATAACCCGCATTCTGGATGATGTGAGAGATTAGCCAATGAAACGGTCTGTTACGGCGAGTTGTAACCCACTAGAAACATCAACGCTGATTGGTTAATCAAATGTTTTGACATCATAGGGTCAAAAGCCGATCTTATAACCACAAGAACTGGTCAGATCTTCATGTAGTGTAGGCCATCCAAAGTATAAAAAAATGAAACGAAATATAGATCTGTATTTCAATCAGAATGAGTATCAATAACCATTAATATCTATG